GCAGACGTTGAGTTATTACCAAGTGGATAAGATTTGCATCAAAATCACGGACTGGGCGTGAATTATTTACTTCAAATGTCGGTCATATTTATATCATGCATTCTATGCATTCTCCCAAATAATAAACAAATCCTCTGTTCCTCTGTGAATAATTATAATTTTTTTTATGTTGCAATTTGAATAATTCGAATTGTCACTTCATTCATTGGGAGCGTCGGAAGAGCCGGCTGCGCAAAACCAATAAACCAATTATAGACGTTCATCCGCGTGATTTGATTTGCTTTTCAAAAAACAATCCCCTTTCGCCACCTCTTTTTTTTTTTTTTTTTTTACAGTCAGTTATATGATATATACCGTTTGTTCTGACCCCTTATTCTTATTCAAACCTTGGCCTTTTACAAATCTTTACGACTTAAGAAGTTTATTTAACCGTTAATTCTTCTCTCAATAAAGTTACCATAAAATAGCCCTAAATTAAACTGTCGGTTATAAAAAAAAGAACCTACAGGTATGTTTATAATCTCCTTATTTAAGGCCTTATAAAGAAGTGGAAGAAGTATACACGAATTGCAATCACCGGCTTTCTTGAACTTTTTTCTTATGAATTTATACTCGAAAATAAGGTTTTTATCAAGAGAAAAATAAAATAAAATAAAATAAAATATACGTATACTATATATATAATATATATATTTCGATAACTATTGTATACTTATAAAAATTATTATTTTAACGTAAACTGGTTTTTTTTTTTATTTTATTTTTCTTATCTGACCAGTTATTAGTATAATACGATGGCACCGACTAAACTTAAGATCAAGGGCAATAAAGCCTTTTCACTTTTATCAACTATTGATACCGATGAAGATTTATCAAAAACTTGGCGTTTAATGACAAAAGTCAAAGATGCCTTAGAATATGGAATGCGTTTAGAAAATTTATCATGGCGTCTTTGGTTTATGCACCACCTTATGGTACATGATCAAAAAACCAGAAATCAATTTAAAAAATTACAAAATGTAACTACTAAAAAATTAGAAATAGAAAAGGCTACTGAACTTAAAGACTTACCTGTTCCAAGTTATCGGCCTAAATCTCAAGATACTGTAGTTGAAAAGAAAGGGAAGAAGAAGGCTACAAAAAAGCTCTCCACCCCTATAATGCAATCAAAAAAGGGTAACCAGAAAAATTTAAAGGTTTCAAAACCTACGGAACCCATTAAAAGCGAAGATTTTAACTCTAATAATAATAATGATGAATCTGATAATAATGAAATCGTTAGTAATAATCACAAAATGGAACTTGAAATTGTTAAAGATGATGAAAATATCGCCAATGTAACTTCTATTACTGAATCTTCTACTATCGATATTGACGATGGTATACTTGTTAATGGTGTGTTTCTTTAATCTTTTTCTAACTATCTGAAAAATTTTTTCTATTTTTTTTTGTTAAACATTATCATTGTTTCCTTAATTACAATTGATTAGTTGGTCATGATGTTACCCATGATGATGCTGAAGGTGTTCTTTCAACGATTAATGATAGTAGATCTTTTGAAGATTTATGGAACGATGTACATAGTCGCAATTTATATAATCTACGTCAATACACTAGCGATCAAGATCCATTTCAAGTTGTTTCATTACCTAGCGTTTTCGATCGCATTAATGCTCAAGCTATATTACATCCTAATCATCTACCTATAATGCAGCTTGATTTGGATCAAATGATTGGTGTTTATACTATATCTCCTGAACCTTCTGAACCAAATTCTCCTACTATGGAATGGTACGACAACAACATTTTACCGCCTGACACAATCACTCAACAAACGTCAACCTTGCAATATCCAATGTCTAATTCTGTTTACGTTCCAAGAACTACTGGAGGTTCTCCCGTTAATTCTGCTTCTATTAACTCAAACTTAATAACGCCAATTAGTACTTCT